CGAGCCCGGGGCGGTGGAGGGAGCCCCCGGGGCGGCGGCGCAGGGCGGCGGCCGCCGGAACATGCGGGAGGCAGCGCGGGGCAGCTCTCCCCAGCTGAAGCGCGGCGCCCTCCCCGGCGGGGGCCGCGGCCGCGACTCGGACAGCGTCTCCGTGGCCTCGTCCTCCGCCGAGGAGGAGGGGAGCACCACCGGCTCCGTGGCACTGGACCCCCTGGAGCACGCCTGGATGCTGTCGGCCTCGGACGGGCGGTGGGAGAGCCTGGAGGGGCTGCTGAGCTGCGAGCCGGCGTTGTTCTGCAAGCGGGACTTTATCACTGGCTTCACAGTGCTGCACTGGGCCGCCAAGCACGGGCGGCAGGAGCTGCTGGCCACGCTGGTCAACTTCGCCCAGCGGCACGGGCTGCCCGTGGACATCAACGCCCGCACCAGCGGCGGGCACACGGCGCTGCACATCGCCGCCATGCACGGCCACACCGAGGTCGTCAAGCTGCTGGTGGGAGCCTACGACGCCGACGTGGACATCCGCGACTACAGCGGGCGCAAGGCTGCGCAGTACCTGCACCASGGCACCTCGGGGGACATGCGGAGCCTCGTGGGGGCCCAGGAGGAGGAGGAGGAAGAGGAGGAAGGGAATGCTGGCAATGGGAGCGGACGCTGGAGGCTCTCCAAGGTGTTGCCGTCCAATCTCATGAACTACCGTCACTCCCACCACCATCACGGCACTGGGGAGGAAGCTGAAGGCACCGATGGGGCAGCGGTGCCGGGCAAAGGCAAGGAGATGACCAGGAAAGCCTCTGGCAGCGGACGGATGAAGCCTCGACTTAATAAGATCCGCTTCAGGACTCAGATCATTCACAACACGCCTTCCTTTCGTGGTGACACAGAGGAGGAAGAGCATGAGGAGAAATCCCTGAAATCATCATTCAAGCTCAGGCCGAAGTCCAATGTGTTTGGATAAGGCCGGGGAGCAGGAGGTCTGGGAGGTGGATGCACGGACCAAAGTGCCCTCAGGTGTAGCGCAGGAGGTGAGGCAGGTACGAGTGGGTGCTCTTCTACACTCGTGGACTCTGGCCAGATGGGTCCTGAGTATCTTGCTTTAACTCTCAGTTCAGTGTGGTCAGTGAGCCCAGCAGGTCAGCRGGGCTCTGGGAGCTCACAGCTCCTGAGAGCAGCTGCTTCAGTGCTGAAATGGGAGGCAGCAGGTGGGTTGAGAAACGCTGGAGTGTTTAAAAGCTGTGCCCCTTTCTCTCTAAAAGCAGGTTTTGTGATCATTAACCTGTTAGTGGATCTACTAGGATTAGCAAGGTGAGTGGGGGAAAGAAAAGTGCAAATGCTTTACTCTTATATTATCAATTGGTACTATAAACTATTAGCAAACAGCTTGCTATGTCACAAGACCATCTCAGTAATATACAAGTATACCTTAAGTTTCTCTTTAACAGCAATACCAGCTGGTGCAGCGTGGAGCTGGATACACAAAATGAGATGGTAGAGAATTGTTTTCTGTCAGAGTCCGAGCTTCAATCCATCAAAGAGTTGAGCCTGTGTTGACTTTATGCATTGAAAATTGCCTGATTTGACGTCATAAATATATATTTTTTTTAAACCCATTGCACTGCAAGCAATGAATAAAGTTAACCATGCGCAGAAGTCTTTGCTGTCGGAGGTACTACTGAGCTTGCTTATCACTGTTGGAATACTAATACAAGATAATAGAAGCAAAGAGTTTTTATATGTATGTGGTATCTTATGTTTTGTCTTAGGCAAAGCAATTTTATTTTAATCACTGTGAATTCTCAAGTGCCAGACCTAGCGCAGCTCCAGTTAGTAAGTCTGGTCAATTCTTGTCTTGTGTAACTCACTGCATTTAAAATCACAAACGTGTTGTATGTGTTTCATGTGAAAGTTGCTCTCTTTTAGAATAAAAGAGCACAGACACCATTGCATGAAATCTTCATGAAACTCTAATATGGTCCTGTAATGTAATAGCTACAGGTCTGTGTTCTCTAGTAAATTGTGCCAATCCCTTCAATTGACTGCGTGCAGAAATAGAGAAAATATAGAAGGAAGGGGAAGAAAAAGAAAGGAAGGTGTGTGAATTCATGTGTAGGGTGAAAATCTAGAACTCCAAAACTCTATCCCTTTTTATCATTCTGAATGAAGCAGCATAATTATATATTCTAGTTAAGTGATGGCAGTGGTGTTTGAGTTCTTTTAAACCTGTATTTCTAGAGAAGTGATAGCCAAGGCTTTGAACTGTTGTTTGACAACCGAGTAAGTCTTAATCTGATTGACGAGCCTATCCGTCTGCTAAAGCTTTCGGAAACCTTGAATCTTGTTTCTCTGTTTTAAAGGTAGCAGTTCCAGTGAAATCTAGGAGGCAGATTTCTATCCATATTGGGCTTTCCTTAAGAACTGAGGTATTGAGCTGACCCTGGATCCTGAATGCTACTCAGTGTAGCAGCTCATCTGTGTGTAGTTGTTAAGGCATGGCCAGTTTCAATGCAGCATGTGTCAAAGCATGTTTCGAGTTGGCTTCCCTAAGATGCAAGTGCGTGCCTGGCCTGAAGTAAATAAGCTTTGACATGTAAAATCCAAATTTGAGACACTGATTGAATGCATGCCGCAAGCTGTAGAACACCTCACAGGAAAGCTGCTCTGGGAGTTATGCACTTTTGAGGTCACAGCTGTCCATGGCTGTTGCTGGTGGCTTACATTTCTTGTAGCAATGGGAAGGAAGTGCTACTGGTGCATTGGCATCAGACTTTCCATGCAGATAAACGACCAGTTTCTGCACTTCATGTCAAAACCGAATAAATGACAGTGTCTGCACAGGCATGCAACACTTGTCCATTTCTGGAAAAAGCTTAATTAAAAWAATAGAACCTCTGCATAGGTGCTGGTCATTTCTTTTGTGCAAAAAGTCTAGAAATTATAGAGAGGTTCAGCTTTAGTTTACAATTTATAAGCTATATTGTTACAGATTCAATGTGCCTTCATTTTGGGTTGGTTTCCACAAATGTGATGGATAAAATCAGTCTTGCAAAGCRATTTGTCTTTATGTCTGTGGGATGGGACCAGAAATTTTCCCTCAACCCTCCCCATTTAWACTGTACAATGGTGTGTCTGAAATGGGGGGATTAATCATACACATTAGAACCTAGAGCTAATTCTGTTGTAACAGAAAAGAKAATTAAATGCCTAAGTCTTAAACTTCCTTCTCTCTGGAAGGTAAATAGGTTTTTAGACTTCTGTAGGAAGGTTTTCTGACTGAACACTTAAAACATGAGTATTTTTCAGTATGCCACATCTGAATTGAGCATGTATTCCATGCAACTACTGATGTCCAAATCTTATTAGTTTTCTGCTTTGAGAATTTMTAGTTCTTTCCTGCAGGCTGTTGGATTAAGTGTTTCTCTCTTCACATRMAAATAGCAAAGAATTGCACAAAAATACTGAGTCTTRGGTATTGGRTTCTGGRGAAATRATTTGAGTGTTTCAAATAGAKCATAAGAGACTAACTGGAATATAAYSTTGCAGAATCCAGTAGAACTTYGCAAATTATTAAAGAAACTTRAAAAATAATAAATGATGCCTCATTTATAACTCAGTATTTGAAATATCAAATGAAATTGTTGGTCCACTGATACTGTTTAGCTGTTTAGTTAATGAATTTCACCATGATGGTCCAAAGTTCTTTGCAAGGTGGGGTGCAACAGAGCAAATATCTCTTTTGGTGTTTGAGGTATTCTAAGGAATAGCTATATAACCACTTGTGACTGCGCTATGGGAATAAAGCACTTTGATTTCACATTATGACTTGTCACATTCCACACGGTTACTTTTTATAACATGAGCTAAAACTTAATGGTTTTTTTTTCTTTAAGATAGGAAAGACTTGATGCCCTATTTCYGTGTATTTGCAGTCTAAAGGTATGCTTGAGTCAAATATTTTGGATACATTGCCTAGAAAGATGTGACTGTAATAAAGTTGTATGGTACAGAAAACTGGAGCACTTACTGGTATCTTTTTAATGGTACGCTTGAAGTTACTGAATGTGTTTGTTCATTTTTTATGATGGTGTGTAAGGCAGCAAGACTGTAATGTAAACGTGGTATCTTTTTTTGTACCTTTATGTTTGAAAAATTTTAGAGGCCTGGAAGCCTATTGGGTTTTATTAATAATACTTTCTGTGGTTGTCTATCTGAATGGTTATGAGTTGAGAATCTGTAAGCTTTAGTTTTATGAAATAAAAAGAGCCCATTAATTRTTTATGCTTGAATCGGCTCCTATATGGAACATACTTAGGTGCATATCGGCTGTTAAAACTACCTAAATGCTTTGTGTTGGGTGTTTTTAATCATCGGGATGTTTGATGCTATCTAACACTCAAGGAGTAAGACATGGAAAAAATACAGAATAGTTGGTTGCAAGACAGCAACATTTTTCTTTGGCAGCTACTTTCTAATAATTCATGTCAAAGTAAATGAAGACACAACAATTTTTGTTGTAGACAAGTATGTCTAAATAAGGGCCTGGGAGAGTGGCATTACTTAACTTAAAATAGCATCCTGACCTTACTTCTGTGCAGCTTAATATCTCTGACTCTGGAAAGACTAATACTAGTTTTAGTCACTTTGTAAAGGTCAACATGTAATTAAAATAGGTTTAGGATTAAGGTATTTTGTAATGTGTCYTACCTACAGCTGGTGGCTTCTGAAAAGGGAAATTTCATTTCATTACCAAGCTAGATTATGGGATTTTGGTATATCTCAAAATTTTTGAAGCTGTTGCCGTACCAGAAGATATATTAATACTAGTAAACCTTATGTGGCCAGGGGCTCCTAATAGACATCCAGRTTTGTGCTTAAACTGAAAAAAGCTCAGCTTTTACTATGCTGGTGGATCAGGATGCATGCAGCTCCAAACCAAGCAGCCCTAAATCAGTAGTACACTGACACAAGTGAGAGCAGAAGGGAGGACGAAGTGCTCTTGGAAACTTAAGAGACAACTGAGGCACATGAAAGCCACTGAGGTAGGGRAGAGGTGGAGGACTTGGTAGGAGAGCAGCCTACATGAGGCTTGCTGATCATGCAATGGCTTGATTAATTCTTTAGAAAATTGTATCTAAACATACATCCCTACTCCTACAGAGTAAGAGTTGAGAGACTTCCTGAGAGCTCTAACATAAATTAATGTCTAAGCTAAGTATTTTAGTTGGCCCTTTTACCAGCATTTCCTAGTGTGACTAGTACTGTTTGCAAAAGCACAAACAACTCTTGTGTTGAGTGTAGCTGCAGCTGTTGCAGCACAGTCCTGGTACATCAGGATAGCCCAACTTAACTTCAGGCTTCTCACTGGAAGAGAAGCTTTCAGCATTGCATTGCTAACTTATTTTTCCATTAGGTAGAAAGGAAACTTTGGGGGATTACAGTCCTGACTTAATATGCCTTGAGTTACGTGGAATTCATGTGAACCTGAAGGCCATAGACTAAACTTCAAATACATCATCCAGTAAAAAAGCAGTTGAGTTGTGCATTTTGCTTCTTTGTTAGCATCGAAGAAAAAAAAAAAGAAGAAAATACTTTCATTTTTTCATGTCCTTCTGAGTGTGTGGAGAAGAAGGAAGTCTGAGATTATTAAAAGGGATTAGGAGAGGGGACTAGCTTTTCAATTTGTGTTAAACTGTGAACAGTTTGACAGGAAAATAGGATTTTGAATGCCACATCATTTTGAAACTATTCCAAAATTATCTTCTATGATTTTTCAGTTTAGCCAGATTTAGTGTTGGCATGTCCTAACATGCACACTTTATTGGAAAAACTGAGCAACCTACCAGGTTTTGTGTTTGCTTTTAATAGAACTGTGTTACAAGTTAGGTAGTTCATCTCCTGTGGTCAAACCTGAGGAAACCATAATTTGAGGCTTTCACAAGGAGTGAAGCTGCTACTGGCACATGAGATRCCATTAGAGCAATACTCAGGTCAAGGTGCAAAAGCATTCTGTGTTTTTCAGCCATGCCAAATGAACCATTGTAATGTATTTAGGTACACCTACCCTTCTGCATAGGCAGCTGTAAACTGTCCCCTCCTCTGGGTTCCCAGGGGCAAGTCAATTAATCTATTTTAACCTGCCCTTTTTTCATTAAGAGGCATTTGGCAAACCCACAGTGAGACTGGCGAGAGTGATGGAAATGAACAGATCCGTGGCCCTGCATTGATGCAGGTAAATGATTGAAGCTGAGTGCTGTCAGTCTRAAGCAGAAAGCCTGTGGAATGTATCCTTGTTCATCAATCCTTGTCTGTGAAAAGAGACTTTGTAAACCTAATCTCAAATGCTACTAATCACGAGAATAACTCAGTCATGTGGGCTGTATCTGGGCATTTCCTCAATGCTACTCTGCTGGCTGTTGAGCTCTCCCAATTATTTCACTTTGCAATGCTTTAAGAGTGCCTGGGAAACTGGTAGTAGGGTGGACGTAAATAACAGATGTCTCTTTTTGAAGCTGGGTGGGGTGATAGTTGTTGGGGTGGAGCAGTTGGCTATTCTGGAACTGTGGGGTTTCTTTTTTCCTTTTAAGAAAGWGATAAAGGATGCCTGCAATATATGTTGAGGCACAGAAATCCTATGAGACATTTCATACTAAAGAGGTGCTGTCCCTTTTACTATTTTGTATACAGAAAGACAAAATTAACTATGCAGGCTATAAAGATGTCTCTGTTCGCTGGCCATATGCTTGCACAACATAAAGCATCAAAGTACCAGAAAACATGTTTGTAACACTGGAATATATAAGGACATCCATATTTGCTATTTCTTTTCCTTGCTGTCTGGGGCATAGTATCTTACTATAGATTATGTCAGGGAAATGACTGTGACAGTTTGGGACAGCATAATTAAAGGGATGCAGGTAAGTCCTGCTGRTTCAGCTGCTTCCCACAGCAGGACMATTAGCTACCAACCTCCTGCTTTCTTCTGCCTCTTGAAACATCCCATTCTGTCACAGGTGGGCTGGCTGGAACAGACTCTGTCTGTCATAGCTGCCACCCCACAGTCTGCAGCTGCACAATGTGGGCTTCAGGATTAGTAAATCTGAGGCCTTTTGAAGCTGCTGTCAGTTCTTCCTTGGATGGGRATGGAAGCAAAGATCAGCTACATCACATAATCTGTGACATTTACACAGGTATTACGCTTTCCCATGTGAATAAATTGCATGAAGTGAAGTATGGGTGAAAGTGGAGTGCTGAGAAAACTTTTAGTGTTAAATAGTGCCAAGAACCTCATATAGCTAACATAGCTGATTAACAAGCTGTTATTAATCTCTAGCTGTTGACAGAAATCAGCTGGATCAACACTGAACAGTGGCTGCAGGAAACTGCTGTAAAGAGTTTGCTGAAAGATTATCATATCTGTTCTTAAGATACATCATTGTTCTTAARATACATCAGTAAAGGATGTGTTTTCATTGCATAGGAGTTGCAAAGTGAGTTAGTTGTATCGTGGGTAAGAGCTTGCAGTACTACATCCCCATATGTCTTTTAAGGGCTGTATAGTAGGTCATGACAGCTGTCAGCATGCTAGGAAATTAGACTCTTGAGTTCTAATTTGAAATTTTCTCAACTTTGAAAGTGTTTCAAGTTCCAGCAGTAATCTCAACTTCCTTGTAGCCAAATTTTTGTTTCTGGGGTAACTAAAGTTCTTGAACTTGTGTATGCAAGAGAAATGTGGTAGTGGCCTTTATCCAGTGTTTACAATTGTGGGGYTTAAACAAAATGAGAACCCAAACCTTTTCCCAGATCTGGAGTAAATTTATCTGAAGCAATGTTTGCAAACAGGCAAGAGCAGACACTTCTGCTGTATGCACTAAGGGACTGCTTTTTTCTCTCTGATACACCCTCTGTACAGAATAGCAGTTGTGTTTTTTTACATCACTACAAAGTTGACARTTTAGCTCAGAACAGGTAACAAATCAGAGAATTCTAGATTAAAGTGTGGTTTCTTCTAGACTGGAGCTCTGGCTAAAAACAAAGCAACTGGTTTTCCACTAGGTMGCAAAGACTTGCTATGAAAAAGTCTGCTGATGGTGCTTGGCAAAGTGCAGAGCTCTTTGGAGCACAGTGCTGTGTATCTTCATCCCTTCCTGTATTTATCCTCTTCTTTCCTAGCTACTTCCCACACGTCCCATTTTTTTCTCTATTTTTAGTAGCCCTAATTTCATAAATACGGATTAATAGATCTACAAAGCTCAGAAAAAAAAAAGAAATCTCCTTATTAAGAATTAAATGGAAAAACTAAACATTAGCTTTTCTTTTCCATTTCAAATGTCAGAAGTAGAAAGAACAAAAATCGTGCTGATGAAAAAGGTCCCCACATACATAATTTTAATTATAACAGAGGCAAGCTTAAAGCTGTGGACAAACATAGAAAAAGGTCATACTCTCCTGATTTTAGTGTTGTGTACCTTAAAGGCG